AGTGTTAAAACTTAAAAGACAAGCTTGTGGGACACAATTTTACTGCAAAAGAAGCATCCAATCAATGCCACAATTATTGCACACTTATAAAAATGAAACGGGACCAACACTTGGAGTCGTGGCCCCATAAATATTAAATAAATATACATAAACTTGTACTATTGTATAATTATATATACACCCACGCTTAAGCTCATTAAAGAGATTTTGTATAATTGTCAAAATCCAATGATTGTAGATGTTGCGAATTTGTTCCCTGTGTCCAAACATAGGATGATGTATCATAATTATTATCATCATTATTATCTTAGGGTTTAGGATCTACGTGGCAACCTTCACAACTGAACATAATTACTCCATTATTTTACTAGCTATACATATTTTCTACACAAATTATATAACGTGATCGTACTTTTAAAATAAAGTACGTACCATGTTTTTATTTAGTCGTTTTTTATAAAAAAAAAAATATAACATTTAAGTATGTATATAAGAAAAACCATATAGTCTAACAACAGTCTAGGCTACATTTTTTAATAAAGCTAATATATCTAGCTAATCATTATTCATTCTCACATATTGTGATACTTGAACAATAATATCTTCTAATGATTAGTAATTATGTTTTAAGCAAATACTACTACTTCCTATTTTTTTAAATATCATTTTAGTTTTATCAACTATTAATCAAATAAATTAAGTTTTGAATTTTTTGTACATATTTTTTAATTATTAACCTCATTTAACTCATAATTACACTACGTCTTTTCATATTCACTCATCATCTTTTCTCAAAACATCCATTTCTATCTTTATTAATGGGAGTTATTATTGACAAAAAAATATTTATAATTATTGCGCAACTTCTTAAAATGACACTTATTAAAAATAGGAGGAGTAGTTTTTAGGGGTGAGTGATGGTGTGCTTCGGTGAAAACTTAAACTCAATCATAAAATTTATTAAAAAATAATTGATTTAATCGTACCATAACACTAGAAAAAATGGATTGAAATCGAAATAAATGTTTTCTATACTAAAAATCACTGAATCAACTGGATCACATGGTTCGAGTTAGATTTGTTCTATACCATTGTATTTAATTTGATTTGAAACGAGCAAAAGACCCCCCTTTCTATATAGGGGAGCGGCTAAAAATAAAAAGCGTAGTAAAAAAGAAAATAGAAAAAATCCCCGTGCAAAATCAAAGAGCTAAAAATTTAACATATGAAAAAAAGAAACAAAAAAAGTCACTGCATCGCATAAATAAAACCGAATCAAGATCGAACTAAAATTTTTATATACAAAAAATAATCTAACCGAACTGGATCAAGTTGTTTTGGTCGATTTTGCTCTACATTTGTTTTAATTTAATTCGATNAAAACTCGAATTGCACCGCATTGATTGAATTAAAAAAACAAAAAAAAAGAGCTAAAATCAAGTCACAAATTTTACATCAAAATAATTGAAATCAACTATACCGAATCGCACGTTTGATCGGCTTTTCATTTTGGCTCAATTTTGCACAAACTTCACGTGAAAAGTAATTCGTATTTCTAAATAATCACAACTTTGAAAATTCCAAAAGATCACAACTTTGTGATGTTTCATTGTTACACTTATCAAACATAGGCCGTGTATATCGCAGCTTTTGTCTATTTTGGTTTTTTTTATGAGACCCAATACAAGTGTATTAAATTCCAAACTACACAATATTATTGAACCCTAAAGAAAAAATGAAATTAAATAATACAATAATTGAGTGGACATAAATTCAATCAATAATACCTGGAATGATGAGTGCCTCGCGCCCCAAACTGAGATTGAAATCATCAATCGACAAGTGGTCAGCTTTTGACCATCCAAATTTCCAAAATTCCGGCTTTTGCCCCTCAGTCACTACTGCTGCCTACTGCAATTAAAACCCTACCTAATTCATTTTTTCACTTTCTAATTATTGACTCCTCAATAGTATCATCCAAATTGAATTTCAATTTTGTTGACACAAAAATATTTTTTTAGTGTCTTTTAGAGAGATATTTATACATACTTATAAGTTCAAACTTCAAACATTCGGATTATAGAAAATGTCATAAACAAAATTATAACAATTGATAGTTAGTTCACTTGTGTGATGGTTATAAGGTGTTGCACACAATAATTTATGTCTGTTTTGTGATTAAATTTCGGCGTTACTATTCACCGCCCCCCCTTTTACTACTCACCGCTCCCCTTGGACAATTTTGCCCTTCTCATTTTTTCTAAACATATCAGACAATTTATGAAAAAATACGTGTCCGGCCGCCGGTTCCGGACAGCTTAAAGCCCGTCCGGAACCGGCGTCCGGACGGCTTATAGACTGTCCGGAACCGGCGTCCGGACGGTTCAAAGACCGTCCGGAAAGCATGGCCGGTCGACCGGCCGTGTCCGGACAGGCCGGCCGGACGGCAAGAAAGCCGTCCGGAACCGACGACCGGTCGGAACCGGTCCGTCCGGTTCGGCCGGCCGGCCGGCAATTTTTTTTTTTTTT